CATTCTACGCCTAATCTGCGCGCTCTTCGCATTTTTTATAATTTTGTTCTTTCTGATTTTGCATTCGCCTCAAGGCTGTTGTTCGTTCCATGCGCTTATTCCATTGCCTGCATCTTGCACCTGCGCGCGCATCCATATTTTTTTTTCCAATACGTCTCATACTATTTGTAATCTTTGGCGTCAACGCCATTGCGTCCGTTCATGGTTTTGTGATCGCACTCCAGGCTGTTGTTCGTTCCACGCGCTTATTCCATTGCCTGCATCTTGCACCTGCGCGCGAATCCATATTTTATTTTCCACTACGTCTAATACTATTTGTCATCTTTGGCGTCCACGCAAGTGCGTTCGTTCATGGTTTTGTGTTTGCATGCTTGCTGCATATGGCCTACGCGCACACCATCCGTCTGCCTGCAAAGCGTATTCGACCTCGTAGCCGATCACACGCGTCGACCAACGCGGCCGAGTAAGCAAGGCTCTTGCGAGAACACGTGGCCGCGTACCTACCGCAGTAACACGGATTCGACGCAGGATTGTCCGAGTGTAAGAAGGACGACAGATTGTCTCTCCGAGCAAACGCGTCGACCAAAGCGGCCGCGTGCAAGAAGCACGAGCATTGTCTCCGCGCACACGCGGCCAAGTGCAACACCGATTCGACGACGGATTGTCCGCGTGTACGCACGAGGAGAGATTGTCTCTCCGAGCAAGCGCGCAGAGCAACGCGGCCGGGTAAACGAATTGTCCGCGTAACGGGTGTCGACGAAGGATTGTCCGAGTGTAAGAAGGAGGAGAGATGGTCTCTCCGAGCAAGCGCGTCGAGCAAACGTGGCCGGGTAAAGCAGATTGTCCGAGGAAATAGCCGAGCGTAAGAAGGAGGAGAAATTGTCTCTCCGAGCAAACGTGGCCGGGTACACGATTCGACGAAGTGGCCGAGTGTAAGAACGGAGGCGCGCTTGTCTCTCCGAGCAAACGCGGCCGGGTAAAGCAGATTGTCCGAGGACGCAGCCGCGCGTACGAAGGGGTTCTGCGAAGAAGCCGAGTGCATGAACGAGGAGGGATTGTCTCTCCGAGCAAACGCGGTCGAGTAAGCGGTTCGAGTACGCGGTTCGACGAAGTAGCCGCGTGACAGAGAAGCGTTGACGGAGAAGGCGTTAACGGACAAGCGTTGACGGAGAGAAGCGTTGACGAGAGAAGCGTTGACGGAAGAGGCGTTGACGGAGAGGCGTTGACGCAACAGGCGTTGACGGAGAACGGGGTGTGACGGAGACGGCATTGACGGCAGACGCGTTGACGGAGAGAGGCGTTGACGGAGACGGGGTGACGTAGAGGCGTTGACGGCGACGGCAGCGACGCCAGAAGAAATTGATGTTGTTGTTCGTTTTAGGTGTACGAACAGAGAGACAGTGTGTGTGACGGCGTTTAGTGGAGACCGGTGTAGAAAGGGGGACGGGGGGTGTATATTCATGAGGCGTTGTGCGTGTGTACGGTAGTGTAGTGTACTACTTTTTTTTGCTTTCTTTGTTCCTTTGTTCTTTTTTTTTTTTTCTGTTTTTTATTCCTTTTTTTTTCTTTAATTCCTTTTTTTTTCAATTTTCCACATATGTTTGTTTTTCTGTTTTTGTTTCTGTGCTCCCTCCTGTTCTATTCCTGTTTTTTTTTTCCCTTCCTCTTTCCCTATCTCTAATGAAAAATAAAGTTATTCTGGAGGGCTTAGTTCAGGAATGTGTTTTATTAGTATGCACAGTTAATGCACTCACACAGGCACAGGACATCTGCGCAAGAATATAGCCAGTTTGAGGCAGTGTTCTATGTGCAGTAGCAATTCAAATACAGATTTATAATAATAAAGGCAAAATGGCAGAAACATTAGGGGCTCTCTTAGCAAATTATGCACGGAACAGGGCAATGTGGAGACCGGATGGAACATATCAGGTAATTTAGTATGAGGGTAAACTATATAAGACCTACAATGAATACTTAGCAGGGAGAACAAACGGGACACAGAAATGGAAGGAGGAATATATTAGAACTGTGAGCTCAGGTATAGCGGATAGAACAATATTATATATTATGAATGAAAGCAAGATACACAGGTACATACATAATTTTCCTCTGCTGCAGAAAGGAATATGGGACGATATCGAAGGGATATTCATCGAGTTACAGGAGGCATTGGTACAGCCGAATCGAGTAATGGATGCACTATGTAACATAATGGCTCAGGACCAGGACATGCGGCGACAGAGGCCTATGGTAAAGCTTATATGCAAGCACATTATAAGAATAATTTTTTTTGCAGAAGGAATAAGTTTCAAGGACGGACACATGGAAGTAAAGAAAGATTCTGCCCAGGACGGCGATCTGCGGGACTATTTAAGATGTATGGTTGGACATGTTGCTGCAATAACATTGTACAGCGGCAGCTGCAAAACAAAAGAGACTGTACGAAAGATAATTCACACAGTGCGCATGTGGGGTGGGGAGGAGGGTAATATAGGGAAAGAGCAACAATGTGCTAGGCTCGATTATGATACCTTACAAATAGGCTCCAAATTTTTTGCAAAAACCATGGGCGACTGGATACGAAGATGGGGAACAAGGAATGGAGGACAAATACGTGGACGCGCAGTGGAAAGTTCCTGTGATATAGGAAATCACAGTAATACAAGCAAGGATAGGGAGCAAGAGGGTAGCGAGGAGCCCATAGTTAAAATGTTTCAGGATAATACTGCTGACGACGTAAGGGACATGATTACTAGGGGGGAAAAGATTGAAGACGAGAACCGGCAAAAGATAATGAAAGAACTTAAGGAACAAGGGATCGCGGGTGATGAATGGACCACACTGATGGCAACGATAGGGGCGACCGCCCCCAAACCCGCCCCAGCCAAACCCGCCACGACGATTACTGTGCCGGCTGCAACAAAGGGATCGACAGGTAAGGACCGATGGGAAAAAGCACGAATACGACACGTAACAATACGAATACACGGCACGCATGTAGACCGTGCGCATATGGATGTCGACACCACCACAACAACGCAACGATGCCACAACACTCACGCAGCAGCTACAACGCAACGGCCACAACAACGCACACGCGGCGAGAACAGCAGCACCCCCTCGTTAAGCTGACGTGTGCAGCCACGACGGCACCAATAGCGGCGACGAGGCACCGGCGACGCGTACGGGATGCGGGAGAAGGGACGAGATGACGGACCAGATGACGGCAACAACATAAAAGTGTACTGCTACCATCTAGTCCAAGTTCACCGAATACGCAGTCCACCGAGTGGACACGGCCGGTACCTGATCGAACCGTCCCGGCCCCCTTCTTTCTGTACCACTTGTGTCCTTTTTTGTATCAGTTTGTCGTTGTTCTTCTTTGCTTTATTTGCAGCAGGCAAGCAACCAGGAGCTACACCACCTAAGGTACCAGAGGTACCAGCGGCGGTTGTTCCTGAGAACAAACCTTCGGAGGGAGGTGCTGGGACAGGGGCAGGTACGGGAAGTACTGGGGGAGGAGAAGATACTTCGAAGAAAGACGGAGGTAAGAACGCTGTATCCCGAGAGAATCCAACATGTGTGAAAACCATGGAAGACACGAAGGTTCACAAAACATGGGACGGCAACCACCTTGTGAGCGTCGGAATCAGTTTTGCAGACTACTCATCCCCTGGATGCTCAGGAAGTGGTACCCCAGGTAGTGATTCCGATGAGAACACAGAAAGACAGAAAAAAAACAACAAACAAGCACAACTTTTCCGGAGAGAGAGGGCGAGACACCACGGAGCGAGCGAGAAACCAAACGTCGAATGAGAATGAAAGCGGCATGTAGCGACCGGTAGACATCGACAGACGTAGACACACTGTGTGTATTGTGTGTGCGCGTGTGTTGTGTGCGTTGTGGGAGAGAGAGAGAGTCTTTTCCCGCGGTGGCACCAGCGACCCACCGTTCCCCTGCGGCCGGTTCTCCCACGGCAGTGAACCGTGAAACGGCGCCTAACAAGCGTGTAGCTGACCGTGTGGCCATCAGCATCCACTGCACACAAATTCAGATTCATGACATCCTTGTTCTTCTCATCCGAACGTATAGGTAGTGGTCCTTCTGAGCAGACGACCACCCAGGACACACAAGACACAGTTTCAGACAAGGGACCAGCATCTGGGCCACCAGCAGCGGCAGCACCGAAAGCAGGAGCCGAACCAGAACCAGCAACAAAAACAGGAATATCCAATGGAGCAGTAGCAGCAACGCCCACTTCTCCGGACCCGGCTTCCAAAGCCGCAGGGAAACAGGAGCCGGACTCCATGTTGTACTTCCCTAATGTACGGAATCCACCGCCGTGGTATAAAGAATTGGACGAAGTGGGCAAGGGTGTACAACCTAAAACTGAGAACTCAGTTTCCTCTGGTACAGGTTCTACTGGTAACCAAAATCCTGGTTCCTCATTCACTGCAGCGTTCGATTTCGACCCAACACATATAACTCCACCAGGCATAGGGAATGTAGCAGGTGGCATAGCACCACCAACATTGAAAGAGAAAGACTACAGTTCACCGCCTGACAACCGGGGTGAGAAGCCAGGTGACTATGCTGTCCCCGATCTAACCAACACCGTCCTTACCGCCACTACTCCCGTACTGTTCTTCCTGTCCGCCCTCACCGTCGCCCTTCTTGGTTATTCCCTATGGAAGGTAAGTATACACGACAATGAGGGCATGCCGCATGTGCAGGATGTTTATACCGCAGAAACTCCCTACCGGCTCCAATATATGATCGTTCTAATCCATATATTCTCCTACAGCCGCGTTCATTCCTTTTATCCTACCGTCCTCACCCTGCTCTTTACCCGCTTTTTCTGCTTAGTATTTTGCGTACCTCGCCAAACGACGACGAACATATCGAACCGTTCGTGACGTGCCGTCACCGCCACTCGACGAAGAAATATGGCAACATCTACAACGCGGCGACCTGCCGCCACCCGATTACGGGTACACCATGATTAAGGATAGGCCACCTGCGTCAACATCCGCCCGACGACGACGTCATCCACGCGTGCATACGCGCACGATCATCGAGCTACATTTAGAAGTGCTCAACGAATGTGAAGCACCCGAATGGGAAAACGCCAAAGACGACTATTTGCAAATTGTCGTGGAGGAGTTTGCGCGTGACTTGCAGCAGGACGAGGAAACGAATAACAATATCTTGGGTGTTTCTACCTCACACGCCGCTTTAGCAAGCCACGATTCGACAACCGACCATTCGACAAGCCACACCCGCCTAACGCGGGATCCCACCGAAACGGATGCATGTCCACCACATGACCCCGATGCATGGAGTTGTATGGAAACTAGACAGTTAGCAACGGACCGTTGTCCCCCTAACGAAGAGGACCCCGATCCATGGAGTTGTATGGAATCCATACAGTTAGCAACGGACCCTTGTGCACCTAACGAAGATGACCGATGGAAGTGTATGGAAACCATGCAGTTAGCAACGCACCCTTGTCCACCTAACGAAGAGGACCGATGGAGTTGCATGGAAACCATGCAGTTAGCAACGGACCATTGTCCACCTACCGAAGATAACCCCGATCGTTGCAGTAGTATGCAACACATACAGTTAGCAACGGACCCTTGTCTCCCTAACGAAGATGAGCCATGGAGTTGTATGGAAACCATGCAGTTAGAACAAGAAGACACTCCTTCTTCCCTTGCATACTCTTCCCACCCCGGGAATGAATGCCCGATCCGCGACCACACTAATTGGATTAACTGGATTGACCGCAGCAAACATATTCTGCGGGAGTGCACGACGCAGCCGTGGTTTTTGCAATTAAAAGCGCATTGGAAACAATACCTGAGTGAACACATGGCGGTAAACGCAGCATCCGGTGAGCACAGGACAGCCGCAACCATGGAAACGCAGAAATTGGAAGCATGGAAAGCGTGGGTTGCCCAACAACATCGGCAAATGAGTACATACAGTGAGCAGCAGTGCTTCCAATACCTATTGAGGAACATAGAAGAGGAAAACACATTACACGGGCAACGAGTGCGAGGAGCTAACAAAGAAACAGTGCAAGCGCCCATCATATCCGGACTAAACACGGAAGACACCCACTTGATGCCAGAAGTACCCCATGAAGAACATATACCATCCACCACCGTGAAACAGCGCGAACAGCAGGACCTATATCCGGATATATATAGGACGAAATCGTTAACCGCTAACACATGGATACTGATCCTGGCATTAGTCATAGAACAGTGCGAGGTCGAATGTCGTTTGCAGGATACGGAGTTATATGTAGATGACCTATTGCAAACGTGTTAACATTAGGATGACGGCTCATACGCATGCGACATAACGCATGCTAACATTAGACCACTTTTACTTCATTATGTGATATACATAATATATTTCGTGTTTGCACTATTCCATACCTTCTTTTTTTTTTTCTGCTCTGTTCTGCTTACTTGTGCTCACTTTTTCCTTGTTTTCTTTCTTGTTATGTAGTCAACTTCTTTTAACATGACTATACAGATACGGTTGTAGAGGTTAAATGTATATAGAACATGTGGGTTGATATGACTTAGGTCGGAAGTTATTTGTTATGGCGTTGTGAGGGAGTACGTACTGTAGTGTAATTTTTTCCGCCCTTTCTTTGACCGCACCAACACGGCGGCAGCCGCACGCACAAGCCTTGACGCGAGACGCGTTGACGGGAGAGGCGTTGACGGGAGAGGCGTTGACGGAGAACGCGGTGACGGAGAATCGTACACGGAGACGGGGTGACGCGGACAGACGTTGACGGAGAATCGTTGACGGAGAGGTGTTGACGGGAGAGGCGTTGACGGAGACGGTGTGACGGAGAGCCGTTGACGCAGACGGTGTGACGGAGAG